ATGATTTTTATTCATGAATAACTTGGGAAATAGATGCTTTAAATATTGAAAGCTAGGATGTCCTAATCGATAATGCCATAACAAAACTTCACTGTCACTAGAAAYAGAGATAGAGCTGAAACAAGTCTGTCGGTCTTGCCTTCCAAAGGTAGATCCTTTATTAAAGAGGTAGAGACCACCATCCTGTTTAGCACTCCCAATCTTCTTCACCGAGGTTAAATCTTGAAATTCACAACAAGAAGACCAAAAATTAACTCGACAATTATGATCAAGGGTTAGTTTGTTGACTGATAAGAGCTTATAGAATAGGTTAGGAACATGCAGAACATCTTTGAGGTTTAGAAAAGGAGAAATAGATACAGTTCCTTTCCCAGCAACAGTAGCAAAGGAACCATCTGCAATCTTAACCTTTTGATTCCCTGCACAGGGTGTATATGAAGAAAAGAATTGCGAAATGCCGGTCATATGATCAGTGGCACTTGAATCTAGTATCTAGGAGCCATTAGATTTGGTACAAACAGTGGCTGCAATGAAGAAATTACCTGACTGAGCTAGAGAACAGGATGGATTAGAATTTCTTAACGATTGAGATTGAAACATTTTATATAAGTGCTCTATTTGTTCCTTTGTGAAGGAAGAGGTTCTAAGGATGATTGCTGCCCTGGATCCGAGTTGCTTAATTGAAGTGTGCGGACATCTCCCCCTGACTTGTTGTCACTGCCTGATTTTTTCTTCCAACCTGTCGGTTTCCCATGCAGCTTCCAGCAGGTTTCCCGAGTATGCCATGGCTTTCTACAATGATCACACCAAGGCCTCTGCTTTCCTCCTCGTTTATCTCCGTCTAAGTCTGCACCTCGGGCCACAAGAGCGGATCCTTCATTCTCTGTTTTTGTTTCACTAACATTCTTCAACATCACTTGCCGTCGTGCTTCTTCTCTATGCACTTCTGAAAAAACCTCTCTTATAGTAGGCAAGGGCTTTCGTCCTAAGATGCGTCCCCGAACCTCATCGAGTTCTTTGTTCAAACCAGCCAAGAAGACAAAAACCCAGCCTCTTTCTATCTTCTTTTTGTACCGAGCTTTGTCAATGGGACTTTCCCATTCTTCTTCTTCAAATAAATCCAACTCCTGCCAAACAGCCATCATCTCATTATAATAGGTTGTTACTTCACGTTCACCTTACTGCATCTTCCACATTCGGGTGTTCAGTTCGAACAGTTGTGAACGATTGTCCAAATCTGAATAGGTTTCCCTAACAGCTTCCCACACATCGCGAGTCGTCGACAGAAACATGAATGGTTTTCCAACCATTGGATCCAT